ATACATATATACACAGTATATAAAAAAGCAAATGTTATCATGCACAGTGTGTTTTTGCAGATAAGTCATGTTTGTTGTGTAATTATGTCATTAGCATTATGCATCTGTTGAGTGACATATCCCTGTGTGCATGCAGGTTTTTTTTACTCTCTTTGCTCTGTAAGATGATCGGTCATGTCAGGTTTTGAATATTAGGGAGCTGCACAGTGGAGGGAAGCTCTTACCTTCTGTTGACTCAGTCAGAGCTGGAAAGAGACATGACGCACTGACACTCGACTCCTCACTCTCCGCAAAGAGCTTGGACTATATAAAGACCAATCTGTTGAACCCCTTCAACTTGTACATGCGCACACACGTGCACACTTATCATTTATTTGCTTAGTCAGTTTCCTCATCAGCTACCTTATCTTTCCAAACCCCTCCTCTCTCTCTCTTTTTCTTAAACAATGCACTCTTGAGCATCCTCACAGGGTTGTTTGCATTCATCTGGTGCATCCTTCGAGAATGGTCGCTCTGTTCCTCTCTGGTCAATTAGAAGACCCTCTGAAAAACTGCATCACCCCGCGCCAACGCCAACACCTCTGTCTTCTCTGCCCCTCTGGCGTCTGCAGGACTCGGGTGTGATTCCAGGCACGGGGATACCTAGAAACTGGGCCTTGTGGTCGCTGCCAGTTTCCATGGTTCCCCCCTGTCAAAGGAAGGTTCTTTCAAGGCCTGGTGTGTTTGTGAAGTTTCCGTGAAAAGATGTCTCTGTGTCTCGAGGTCCAGAGCCCAACGAGAGGAGAATTCCTCTGTGACTCGGGGCTGAGTTGGGGTTGTGCAGCACAGCGGATGGAAGTGAAAGTTGGGGGGAGAAAACACAGAAGCAGCATGTTTAGGTCCTGGCTCAGAGCCACACATCAGTTAGAAGCTCAGGGGGGACTGGGTCACTTGGGGGTTCCCAGGGGGGAGGTAAACACAACTGTGTGTACTCATTTCCCCCAGCAAACATACATCCAACTGCGGAAGATACAAACAGGAACAAGTGGAAACATAAACACCTTTTTTTTACAGTTTCTGACGTAGACTGAAGGAGATGCAAAAATACGAATAAACCCTGACGCACTTTTGAAAGACTTACCGTAAAGACATCTTCACACACGTTTTTGGTGTTTCTTTTCAAGTGTGGTTTACTGGAGTAATTTTGCAGTGTAGTTTACATACAAGGTGACTCATCCTTTAAAATTCCTGCTGGCACTCCTTCTGCTCTCTCATTTTTTTACAGCTTTAAGAATGTGTACACACAAAGTAGGAAGCCACTGTTAAAACTGAAACACCCAAAGTGACTCAGCGGACACAGAGGAGGATAAGCCATCCTCACAGTGATAACACGCATTACCTAGACACCATGTTCTTTCAGTAATAATTCAAAATGCTTCAAAAGAAACCTGATAAGCCGCGACATGCCTGAGGTGTCTTTTGTGACATTGAGTGAATGATGAAGTGACAACGGAAAAGAGCCTAATTCAGATTTTTCTCACAGTGATATAGAAACGACACTAACTGTTGCATGACTGGCAGCAAACACAGATGCGTCAGTCTTTACATATTTGGCTCCTTCTCACTCCTAAATAGGAGTTGCAGCAGTGCCGCTCTTAGCAACACGTGACTGAAGCAGAAATTCTTGTTTTTTTTAATACTAAGTTTTACCACAAAGGCCCATTTGTCCTGGTGCTGTACAGTATTTGCAAAAGAGGGTAGTCTTATTTCAAAAGGACAACCTGTATCACCAGCCTTTCCTGTTGGATCTGTGCACAAACTCCTTTTATTGCGTGCGGCTTTTGTCAACTGTCACAGCTAAAGGCGACTCACACCTTGTAGTTTTATGCACAATTACCTTGATATTCAGCTCTTGTTTCAAAGACTTCCTTGAAGCAAGTGTTTCCAAATTTTTAATGGCTTAAAATGTCTTTAGAGAGAGGACAAGTTGTCCCTGTATAGCAGACAGGATAATGGTTGTTTCAGCTCACATCTCCTAATGTCACATAATCCCAGGCCCCTGATGACAGCAGTAATAATGCATTGACATGATGTGTTCATCCCAGCATGTCTAATACAGCATATCATAGCGATTAAAATGTGTCTCTGTTCCCTGTCAGGTTAAGACTCAACATGAGACACAACTCAAGGTTAAAGCGACTCAATTTGAAGCTCTTCTTTGACTTTGTCCATTTATCTTGAAAATATTGTGTGACTGTTAGCTGCCTCTGGTGTACGCAGCTGCTGGTGATTCAGGTCTTGCTCAGGGACACGTCAGTATAGGACCTTAGTGGGCTTGAGGCTGAGCTCTCCTGTTGAAGGACATGCACTGTGATGCACATGTACTTCCCTGCAGCATCAGAATCACCAAGAAGAGATTTGATCTGAAAGGCTCAAAGTGCAAAAAGTACACTGTTCGTGACTCCTTGTCACAGACTTTCAGCAGTTCTACTCACCTTCATACAGGCCAAAGGCACATGCTGTACAAAGTTGTTATACAGTGAATGTATTCTTATTTTCCATTTGACTGTTCAAACTTTTTTTCTCCAAGGAACACATAGTTCTTTGTGATAGTACAGTCCGCACTCCTACACACAATACAGGCTCATGTACGTCAATTGTTATTATCTTAATACCACTATGCGCATAATAATTCTCTCAAGGATAACATAATTCTTTAACAGGTACGGGAAAATGTGGTGAATTTCTACCACAGTGTTTAAAACAAGCTGACTCCGCTTGTGCTGTCAGCCGAACGCCTGACTTTGCACTCACTCAACAGCTCTGTTTCCACTGCGGCTTCTGAAAAAGCACCTGGGCCTCCCCACACGGCGGCAGATGGAGGAACCACCGCACACCCACTCAGGGCTGGAGGCACCGCTCTGTGGGGCCAAACATAACAATAACCCTCGGCATGGTCAGTGCTCATATGCCGCTCTGCTTTCCATGAATTTGCAGTGTTGGAGCCAAGGTTTTCCATGGTCACAGCCAATGAAACCACTGTCCAGTGCTGCAGTTCACTCTGAAAATATACTGAGATGGGTACAGCGAAACATGGGCACATATATAAACAATATACATGCTAACAATAGCCATAGAAACACATTGTTTAGTGAATGCCATGATCACAGACGCACATAGTGTTATTTTACATTTTGGAGACTTTTCACAAATTACACACTTTAATTTCTGAATATTACTCACTATAGTTTCAAAACTAAAGACCTGAAAATTCAGTTGGGTAACTGCTTGTTATGCATTATGAATGTAATGTACAGGGAAATCAAAACAAGGTTTTTCAGTCAGGCCTAAAGGTGTACAGGTTGAAGACTCAGTTTCATAAATGAAATAAACCAAATAGATCATACAAAAGAATTCTCCCTCCCTCTGCTGGACAGATGCTGGCAGTGCTTCACAAGCTATCGATGTAAGAGAAGAAGCAGTCCATTTCATCAGTTACATTGGTTAAGAGATGTTTATAAGTACTGAATTACAGAATGTTTGTAGTTTAGGTCCCTCTTCAGCTGTCTTAGCTAATAAAGGTGAAAATGCCCAAAATAATAACATTTAAAAGGGACAAGATAAGCACGATCATGACTGATTCATCAGTTTGCAATATTTTCTTCCACAAAAGGTCCACAGTCTGAAACTAACAAGGATTTACCATGTTCTTACTTAACTGCTGATCTCATAATTCATAAAGAAATAATCCTTATGTAGCCAGTCTTAGTGCATTTTGCAGCCTAACTCTTTGCTTTGTAGCCCATTATGGTGAAAAATGATCTCTCTGTTGATTCACTCAAACACTGATTCTTTAAATTTCACTTAAAAGCCTCAGTATCATTATGAAGTAAGACCCTGGGCAAAAGTGTAGCCATGTCAGTGTGTGAGTATTTGAAAATACTTGACTTGAACACAAGAATACACTTTATAGATATATCTATTGTTGAGAAAGAACTGACTTCAGATTCAAGGCCAGGTATTTAAGGTTTTCAATGCCACCTTGTTTCCATCCTGAATTTTGATTTGGATGACATAGATGTAATTAACTGATGTGACAACTAATTAGAAATGTAAGAAATCATCAGTAGATTGAAGAGTAGGGAAAATCCCTGTGGTTCGTTCTTGGAGCCATCCTTGAAGAAATGTGTTTGATGAGTTAATAAATAACCACAACTATGTTTGCCAAGAACCAGATACAAGACTTCGGCATGGTTTATGAGTTACAGCTGAGTGAAACCTTTAACTTGTTATTGTACACTGAGGAGATTAGTCTGGTGCATTTTAAACATGGCTGACTTGGATTTATCAATGTTGTGTTGTAATCTTAAGAAGTCTCTGAAGCCATTAAGGTCCATCAGAGCTTTTTCACATTTTTGTAATTTATTGCTGATTATCACAGGGAGACACCATAGACTGCATATAGAAGTATATAGTATATACAGTCTATGAGAGACACATGGTGTGACTTCACAACTGAGTTTAACAGTAACTGTGAGTAACAGTATACAAGTTAGGGTGCTGTCCAAATGGCATTTTGAAAGAAGTCAAACCACATTGACTTAATTTAAATCAATTTAATTGCTCTTCCGCATTACGTATTTAAATATTCTTTTGTTAGGATTATTATTATCCTTATTATGAAAGTTTTAGAACCTATATATCCGCTTTTTTTACGTAAATGTACGTCAAAGGGTCTCGTTCTTCAGTGGGCCATGTATTTCCGGGGTATCAACACAAAGATGTCGATAGAAAACAAGACAACAATCCGTCTCGTCTTGCTGACTTAGAAACCGTGTTACATTAAAAACTTGACATATGTTTGCACCTTTCTACACGCGTCATAAAGTACCATAATGAAGTATTTTTTTAATCAAATAAAATCTTTGTTTTCACACAAATTAGCCGAATAGTTCTGAAAGGGAAGAACAGTCTATCAACCTTTGGTAACGCGAAACCGGAAGTTGAGAGATTCTCCTCTTGAGTCGCTGTTTCATCTTTTGCCGTACCAGGAGATGCCGGCGTTTGGAGGACAGGTAGTCTGATGAGGTTATCCACAGCATCGATTCATCGGGTACATCAATATTATTCAGCAGATTCAACCCGGACTATGTGAATTGGTGTTAAATTTGTGAATGATTATGTTCTGGTAGGTCACACTTAGCGGGTTACATCGTGTTCTCTGCAGTGGACGACAGGTTTAGCTACAAATGTGCCTGTTAGCTAGCTAACGATTATAAAACGTTGTTGCCAGGGTAACTGTACCTGAAGAGGTCATGAATTGTTGGTGGGTATGATTACATGGAGGGGCTCTGTATTAACTGACCTCAGCTTAAGAACAGTCGGGATACTTAAAGCTTTGATAGAGACGGAGCCTGTTGAGCCCTAGCGCTACCCCTGCTAATGCTTATTTACTATTACATGTTTATTCAGTGGTTTCATCACAGGTCTGTTGGATTTTAATGTTGGTCTCAAAACTCAAAGGAAGCACTGATGAAGCTTTTGTCAGTCTATGGTCATTACTCCGCTATGTTATTGTATAAAAGTCCTCTAGAGGGAGCCCTAGTACACAGATTGACTTAAAGAAAATAAGGAACCCTTTAAAACAGGGGTTCTCAACTGGTGGGTCCCGACCCAAATGTGGGTCACAAACACGTTCTGGATGGGTCACGAACAGCCGGTCAAAAAAGTATATATTTAATGCGATATTTATTAGATATTTGATACTTTTTGTATAAGCAACTTCAGTAGTTGTCGTCCTCATGTTGTCCCCTTCATGTGCTCTGAAATGCACTTTACTCAATAAAACAAGTGGATTTATGTTAAAGATTAGAGTCTTGACTCTTTAAAGGTTTTTTTTTAATAAAAAATTATTTTGCTAGGTTTGAATTGTAGTGAGACCCAGAGTGAGACCAGTTGAGAACCACTGCTTTAAGATATGGGGCTCTATTTTCGTTCGCGCCGGTGAGGCGGCGGAGGGCGGCGAGCCCCGCGCAGTTGTATTTTCGTCTGGCGGAGCCCAGCGTAAGGCCAATTTGGTATTTTCGTGGCATGAGCCGCACAGAGGCGAGCTGAGATCCGCCAAGCTGGGCGTGGTGGTGTGGCAGGGGGAGGTGTTGACAGAATCAGCTGGCGCAGTGACATTTTCGTGCTCGCCAATGGCGTGTAAAGTGCGCTGAAAGCTCGCCGATTCAAACCTGGTCAGCTTTCAGCGCAAGGCGGAACGCAGCTGGTCTAGTAGTATTTTGGTAGACCGGCGGCGTATCGACATACGTCACTGATGCCTCACCGGCAGGTTTCCACAGTGTCAGGCACATTTCAGTGCAATAAGTAATCATCATCAACTATTAATCTGAGTCAGCACATACATTTAGATCTATATAGATATATTCTGATCTATATCTGATCTGATGAGCGCGTTTGGCACGCGTTTGGACACACAACCTGACCGAATCAACACAGCTGAAACCGCATCAAATTAAATTAAATATCTAGTAAATAAACACACATGATGAAGTTAACAAGATATGTAATTCGTCTCCCTCCTTTTCTTTCTTCCTCTTCCTCTTATTTCTCGCGCAGCTCGACCTGGACACGTCTCCGTGTCCTCTGTCCGTCTTGCTGCTGCTGCGACTGAACAGATGATTTGTTTCAGTGCTCAGATGCGTGATCTACTTTAAGCCGACATACGGATATTATAATATTCAGTTTTGTGAGCCAAATTTATTTTATATGCCAACATCTATGAAAGAAAGAGCCAGGCCACGGAGCGTGATGCGTCATTTACGCACAGATGGTTCCAATTTTAATGCCATTTTTGGAGTTTATGTTGTGATCTGTGCGCTAAACCCACCTTTGTCACGTGAGGTTTGAATATGAGCAACTTTATGTGAGTGTCTTTATTTGTGGAAAAGGGTGTTTGTCTTACCAGTGGGACCAACATTACGCACACTAAATCCATCTGTGCTCATATGAGAGAGTGTGGAGGACACTTGTTGAGGAGCTGCCCTCTGTCGCCATCTTGTGGCATTACTGTCTTAAGACATCTCTTGATCTCTTTGACTACTTCATGAAAATAGTAATACGCCTCGCCGGTGGCAGATTTAAAGGCAAGGAGAGGAGCTTATGTGATTGGTGAAAACAGGTCTCGGCTTTGTTAAAATCACTACACGCCCTTTCTCCGACTTATGGTGCTGGGAGGAGCTGAGTTAGGGAGGGGGGATACTTACGCCGGGCTGCGCGGCTCACCAAAATACCAAAATGTGCTTGGGAACGCCTTGTCAGCGCGGCGGATCTGATTGACGCTGCGCTTGCGGCAGATCTCCGGCGAAGCACCAAAATAGAGCCCTTTATGTTCCTTTAATAGTCCCACAGGGGGAAATTCCAAAACTACAGCATCATGAGTACAGATACAAAAAGAGAAAAATTAAAAGATAAAGAAAGTTAAAATTAAAACAAGATACGTGCATGCCTCATATATACATCTGTACAGAATTTACATTATAATAGGGTTTATTGCACACTGAGGTTCCTTTCTGGGTCTTTTCTGAGTCCTACCATGTTTCATGTATGTTTTTATTATAAACCAGCATATTTTGTTCTTAGCATCAGTTATAAGTCAATATTTAAAACAGAGCTTAGGTTTCACACTTTGGTAAACTTCTAAATAGTCTTGCTGATTAATTAAAGTGATAGATCGTCTGGCAAATAAGTCAATAGATTCCATTAATAAATTTATTTTATAGGATACTCTGTTATAATTTTGGGCTGTGCAGTGGTCTCCTGTCTCAATCATTTGCATACTTCTCCAATTTTAGTGACCCTTCACTCGCTACCAGTCTGCTTCAGCATTGATTTTAAAATTCTTTTAATCGTTTTTAAAGCCCTCAATGGTCTTGTCCCCACTCCCCAGTCAGAGCCTTAAGGTCCTCTGACCAGTCACTGTTGAGCGTCCCGAAAACCAGGCTCAAGTCTAGAGGTGACAAGGCTTTTCAGCTGTTGCCCCTAGACTGTGGAACAGTTTACGTGGCCATATTCGAGCCTCTCAGACCTTAGAGTCTTTTAAATCATCTTTAAAACCCACCTTTCTCCCTTGCATTTAATAAATGAGCACACAGGAATCAGAGGCACTGTAGCTTTTATTATTTTACTGTCTGTGTTTTATTCTACTGTTTTTAATTTTATTTTTTATTGTCATCTTTTTATTTACTTCTTTTATTTATCCCATGCACTTTGTTTAACTGTTGTCTTTTAAAGGTGCTTTATAAATAAACATTGACTTGATTTGTTCTCTTTGCAGGTGAGGAGGACTGATTGAACCAGAGCATGTAAGAATTCCTCAGTTTTTGAGAGCACAGATTAAAGTAGATTTAGCTAAGGTCCTAATTTATGTGTTGATGTTTTTTTTTTTACATTTGAAGGTCAGGATTAAAAAGTCACGTGTCAGTGCCTGTGGCGGTGGGTTTCATGTTGGTGGGCCTCCCATACTCCATCTCTCTGGCTGCTCAGTGGCTCTATGGCTGGCCAAACAAACCCGGATACAAAAAGTACATAGAAGCTCTGAAACCAAGGTAACTCATGCGATATAGTGAATCTACTCTTTGTCTCAATAAAAGAGCTTGTTAATAATCTCTTTTTTTCATGTTTTTTTTCATTATCAGGAGAATTTACTGTATGACCAGAGCCGTGCTGGAAACCTTGAAATATCTGCAGTATGGGAGACTCTACTTCCAGTGGAAGTCATGGTACAAGAATGACAAAAACCATAAACATTATAAAAAGGTGTGTTTGAAGAAGCTGTAAATACAATGTGTTTGTATTTTGGTTTTGTAAATGTCAGTCAGGAGCTAAGATAAGGTATCCACTTATGCACGTGAAAATATTTGCAATTCTTTCCCAAATTTTATGTGAAAGTTCTGTCTGGAAACTTTAAAGGGCATCACATTTGGCCGCCGAGGCAACAAGCTGGACTTGTACCATCCTCCAAATGTGGGCAGATCTGAAGAAGTGCTGTCACCGCTGGTGGTTTTCATCTATGGAGGGGCATGGGGCTCTGGAGACAGGTCTATTTACTGTTTACTGGCGAGGCAGATGGCTGAAGAACTCAGTGCTACAGTCATTTGTCCTGACTACTGCACCTATCCAAAAGTAAGACTTGTTTTAATTTTTAGTGTATTCGTACAATGTTTAATCCCTCAGCATGTTAAAAAACTGTATAGTGCATGTAAGTTTGGTGTCTGATCTGACTGGTTTCATCTGATTTCTAGGGAAATGTTTTAGCGATGGTGCAAGATATTGCGGACTGCTTGGTTTGGGCCCAAGAAAATGGATCAGAATTCAGTTTTGACAAAGTAAGAGAAACCCACAAGTAGTCTGAAGAAATTTTTTAAAACATTTACAAGATTCTTGACTCCCTGTAAATTACCTTGAGGGAAATCCCTGAAAACCAAACCTAGTTAAAATTGTCTCTGTACATTTCTTTGCCACATATGACATCTTAAATGAAGAATGAAGTATAAGCTCATTTTGAGGATCAATTGTTGTTTTGTCTGAGAACTCACCTTTATTTCCACTGTCACATTAGTGACCCCACTGAGATCTTTCTCACTGTTCGGTTCTTTTGCATCCACATTAACCCAATGTTCACTTCAGATGAGATGCTGTTATACTTGATATTTTCTTCTTTTTCTGTGTTTCCTAGAACAACATCGTGTTGATTGGTCATTCAGCGGGTGCACATTTGTGCGCACTTACCACTCTGTTTCTCATTGATGCAAGAGAAGAGCTTTTCATGGAGGTCAGCAAACAGAAGAGCATTACACTGGCAATAAGAGGAATAATGGGTAAGGATCTCTGCACAGTGAATCACCCAGTCTCGCAGTTGCTTCTGTATGTTACACTGAGGAAAACTGCCACTAGGATAAATGTGTCTTAAGTATTTTTTTTTCTGTGACATTAAAATTTTAATAACATTTAATGCTTCAAACATCCTCCTCTGTCATGTTTTCATTTATGTAACCTCTCTTATTACCTGGTCAGGTTTGAGTGGCGTCTACAACATCATGGACCACTATGAGCACGAGCAGAGGCGAGCTATCGAATATGTCTCCACCATGCACAAAGCCATGAACGGAGTGGAGAACTTTCCGTACTACTCACCAACACATTTACTGAAGGAGTTCAGTCAGGACAAAGTGAGCAGGTGAGACTGAGACAAGGTAAAAGAAGTAGGAATACACAAGAGAAAATGTATTCTGTGAGTAGTCCTCACAATGACTCCATAGTTAGATAATATGACTATTCATAGATTAAAACAAAACTCAGAGTGATTGAACTGTATGCAGAGGGAATAGGGAAACTGCCACTTGATCAAACATTAACAATGATGTGAATGAAATCTCTGTGTCTACCAGAGTTCCTCCATTCGCTTTGCTCCATGGGACCACTGACATCATCGTCCCCGTCGAGTCTTCCACAAAGTTCTCCGAGCTCCTCACCGCGCTGTCCTTAAAGGTGTCGCTGTACCTGCTGCCAAAGGTTGATCACACTGAGATGGTCACCGACCTCATGGCACCAGACAGGCGCTTCTACCATCCCATCTACAGCTGTATCAAACAGGAGTACATAAAACTGTCAGAGACCTGCTGATGTCCAATCAAACCATCTGTTTGTCATTTATTTTACATACTTTCTGTTCTAATACCTCAAAGAAAACACAGTAAGCCTTGATTCTGACTTGATTCTTTTACATTAGTTGATTCATGAGTTTTTATCTTGTCTATTGTAGCAGCATAACATCATTTTATGTAATTTTGATACATAAAATCATTTTGATACAGAGCGATATCACCCAGGTTACAGTGAAATGAACAAACATGATGTTAATCCAGCTCAAACTTTTCTTGGTTTATTTCAATATCTCAAATAACTTTTCATTGACCTCAGACACATTCAACCAAGCTGGGGGAACCTCATCTTTTGTCTTTATTAACTGAGCACAAGTCTCTCTTTTTAGCAGTATTAAATTATGTTATTATTATTATTATTTCACACAATTCGATTAATCATGCTTTGTTTTGAAAGTTCCATGTTGACTTTACAACATGATTACTTGTGGTGCTATGTATGCAATATAAAAAACAATGAGAATCAAAGTATCTCAGTCTGACTTTTTTACAAAAGTATTGGTATTTTTTTTTCTTTTCTTTTAAAGATTCACAAAGTTTTGTGCTGAGTGCACAAAACATGCACATGCACAATCAACCACCATTTCTTCAACAAGAGGCTTTACTATGGTTACAGTGTGGTGGGAAACAAGTGAAGCTAGCTACGATATGAACATGACATGATAAATAGTTGTATGAGCGCAGTCAAGATGCAGACTGTTAAAAATGTGATATTGGATTTTTGCTGAATCAATACATACCTTTCTTTTTGATTATAAAAAAACGCAAAGTCTTTCTTTTTTTTTAACTTATTCTCTCACTGTGACTGTTTATTTCAATTATACCGTGTGAAAATTTGGCTGCTAATGGAGTGTAAAGTCTAAATGTAGCTATTTGGTAGGAAAAACCCTCCTGTAATAAAAGGACAGCTTGTTCCTCTTAACAGTGGTAGGCTTGGGGGATACAAGAACGCCCTCTAAAGTGGCACACTGGAGTGATATGTGTCAAAGTTGCCTCTAGGGTGTCCCTCCAGTGGAGTCAGCGTGATGCAGAGCCATACAGTCTGCCCCACATGCTAGAAAGCCAGTTTGTCCTTGCCCCAAAGAGCCTCTGAATGGTTAGATAGTTCACACTTCCCTGTCTGTTTTTATTACAGTGCTGCTCTACTTACTGATGCCCCAACGCATGCAGCTGCTGCCCTTTTTGTCCTCCTACCCCCTGTTTCTCAGACAACCTGAGTCAGCCGCTGCCTCTGCACATGACCACACACCAGACAGCACATTTTTGTCTCTGACTGGAGTCAAACACAAAAAAATAATGCCAAGGTTCCTTTGTACAGAGATTGATGATGACAAAATAAGAATTGAAGCAGATAAACAAAAAGTTTAACTGCTGCTTTAAAAAATAGAAGGAACTTGTGTTATTTAATTAAATAGTATGGCTCAGAGAACAACGTGCATCATTTTCATCTAACATTTTAATACAGAGGACCTCATCCGACTTCTGCAAAAGGCCATGTGTGCCATTAAAAAAATATATCCCTTTTAGGGGGGTTAGCATACTTTATTACATCGATGCCGCTGGTTATGACTCAGCACTTTTAACTGGATTTATTTGGAGATGGTTACATGGCATTTAAAATGTTTGTGTTGTGCAAAGTGGTTAAGAGTGAAATCCCACAATCGAGTTGCACAAAAGAATTATAATTTTTGACCAAAATATCACAAAATGCTTCAATTTGAAATAAAATTAACGATATGCACGTTCAGGTTTGCTGATCAGCTGCTTCTTCTCTTCCCCAAGTCCAGGCTGAAAATCAGAGGCATCCATGCCTTTGTATTTACCTTTAAAGCTGCAGTGAGGAACTTTTCATTTGCGTGTCTTTGCTCACAGTCTTTGCTTATCTTGTCCTCTTCACGCTTGAGTGTTTGTTAAAAGAGTGACTTTTAACAATAAAATTATTTTTTTTTATGAATATTTAATGTGAAATTATTATATTGGTTGGCTGACACCTACCCCCTAAAACATGTTTCAGCTATGAATAATCAGGATATTAAAAAAATCAGTCTCTTATAGTCTTAAACATAGACTGTATATAGAATGGACGCTGTCTGCCTCCTTGATGGGTGAAGCCACTCCGAGAACAGCACCCTCTGGTGACTGGCTGCAGTATAGATCATAAATCCCGCCCCCACCAGCAAAGCTTATTGGGCTGTGAACAAACTTTAGAAATTTATTACACAGAACATACCTCGGAGTGACGCGTTCACGGGCCACTTGTCAATAAAAAATTGGGCTCCACGGGTCTGTTGCAATAATAATCCACCCAGTTTATTTACAGCACACCAATAAGTCCCAAAAGGCACGATTGCAATAGAAATTCATCTTTGACAAGTGCAAAAAGCCCCAAATTGAGGGTCTAAAAACTTGTGTGCTCTCACCAATCACAAAACACTCACATACCTGCCTCTAATCAGCGCTAGATAGGTCAAAGAGGCGAGGAAACATTTCCACCTCACATGCAGGTGGAGCCACCTACTGAGAAACATCAAAATTACATGAACCCAGAATCCATATTCAAGATGAGAAATTTAAATACACAAATTTGGAATAGGGCAATACCAATACCAATTGGCTCTAACATGGGCGTACAAGGATTGCGAAGCTCACCCGGGGGATATGCTGTTTGAGCCGAGCGTCATCACAGCGACTCTCAGCGACTCACCCGCCGAATGCGCACAACACTACTGTGCAATGTTGGTTTCAGGAAATGGAGAAAAAACGCAGAATTACTGAGAGCTTTTCGGCTTCAAATCTGTTTACTGGCAAATGACAGTCCAAAAGACAGTCCAAAAAACGAAAGAGGCACTTCAGTCAGTCCATATTATATACAGTCTATGGTCTTAACTGTTTCAGTATAGCATAAAAAAGCATCAAAGTGAATTTCAGTCTGTTTTGTAAACACCTAAAACCCCCTACAGGAGCTTTAAATTTCATCCCAAACTTCCTCTCGTTGGCTTTTTGGTGGTATGTTTGCATTGTGCAGCAGGATAGAAACCAGGTTGAATAAGGGTTTAAGAAATTCCCTCCTCCTCCTTCTACTTGCTCTTCCTCCTCACTTTGAGACACACACACACACACACACACACACACACACACACACACACACACACACACACACACACACACACACACACACACACACACACACACACGAGGCGGAGTTAGGCGAGGACCTACCTCGGCGTTTGGTCGCTCACTTCCCAGCTCCTCTCACTCACTCTTTCTCTCTCTCTTTTCGTCCAACTGTTGTGTTCGTCGGTACCGGAGCGTGAATGAGCGGAACCACGTCTGTAAATATGTAACTTTCACAGTCCCTCCAAACAGCAGCGTTTACCACCGGGAGAAGAAAGATGGACCCTGTTGGGAGAAAAACACAGGAGAAGTTGTGGCTCCGCGGTCTGCTTTGGTGGTCGCTCCTGCTCCAGGCGGCGTCGGGAGGTAACGATGCAACTTTCCGACTTTTTAATCAATGAAAACACACAAAGAGATAAACTTACTCTGCTGCTTTCACTTGTAACAAGTTAATTTTAGCCACACTCTTAAAGTGGAGAAATTTGGTGAGTTCCTTCACGTATCTGCCGTGAACCGAGGAGACAGTGAGACCTATGGAGGAACCCTTTAATGCTTCTGCAGGAATAACCCAAACTGTACCATGTAGACTAACTGTCTTTGTTTGTTAATCTGTTTATGAGCCACAGCTCTATTTCTGTAGCATCATGCATGTGTCTCTAAAAACAGGCGAAGTATCACTTTACTGATGAATATATTTAAAATGTTCTCTTCACATGCTTTCAGCTGCTTTACACGCGCATAAACCTCAACATTAGAAGTGCATCAATTGTTTATGAAGGTTGTTGGTTTTTGTTTGCCATGTTGCCCAGTTTTGATCTGGATTTAGCATTCAAAATACACGGTTCTTTCATGCTATTTCAAATGAATGAGTCTTATAAGTACATTAGTATTTATTTTATATTTATGACCTTGGCTAATCTGTGCATGCATGATGCACTCAGAGGATATGCAGTTCAGTGTGAGCACCCACCTCAGAGGGAGAGAGAGGGAGAGCGGCAGAGATGGGGCTGTGATGCCCATTGCACTGGAAAAGCTATCAGACTGTGACAATGGCACACTCATGAAATCCTAGAATTGACAGTCATCTCTGTGCTGAGAGGTCTAAGGGCAAAATCTGTTTTTAGTGAGTGAGCTTCACATGTACGTTCACATCCATATGGGCATTCATTATGTTCTTTGCTTGAGTTGCTCCTGTGCATGTGTCATCTAAATTCAGTGTCTGCCCAGGCTTACCCCCTGGGGATAATCAGGCGTTATCTTACTATGACTCACCCTTACCGAATCTTTCATTGAATATTATTACAGTATAGACAATTGTTTGAGCTCCATGCATGTCAGACCTCTGTATTCCCTCTGCAGCATTATAAAAGCAGCCTATGCTACGGCCCCCATGTCGTGGGGCTTTGACAGAGCATCAGCATCAGAGGGGCATGACAGTCCAAAAAACGAAAGAGGCACTTCAGTCAAGTTGCATCTCTGATTTGTTGTACAAACTGAGTGCACAGGCAGTGACATGCACTGATCTCTCACCCCTCAAATTAACTGAGAGCGGGTGTTTGCTCAAAGGTCACTGCTTTTGTCGCTGAAAGAGTGGTGTGCGAAATCTCACCAAAAAAAAATGTCCCGGATACACATGAAAGTGCCCCTGCAGACATGCAGATTACAGAACAACCTCCAAACACCTCCTGTTTGTGCTTCTTAAGACACACAGTCATGTGCACACGGGTGTGTTTATGTGTGGGCATTGTCTTCTGGCAACTTAACTGTGCTCTTTCATTTACATACACCCACAAAATGTCCATGTTGAAGCACGTGAGATGAAAAGCATCTCCCAAACGCCACTATTTACATCGTTGCGGAGCTCTTCAAGAATCGTGATTCCTCTAGGGAAGTGAACTGTGGGGGGGAAACCCTTTAGGTTTAACCACACATAATGTTCAACCACATGACCAGAACGTCAGAGTTACAGCAGCAAAATACAAGTTAGCAGGCTTGTGCATCCTTGTGAATTAAAGTAGAAAAAATTTGTACATTCCTCTTGGCACTTTTCAGACATTCTTCCTCACTGTTTTGTACACAGAGTCAGTCGGATGAAAAAGAAAGACAATAAATTCAGTCAGGCTGGCTGTGGGTCAGAGGAAGGATAAATTAAACTGTGTCCCTGTGCGCCAATCAGTTTGAGTGTTTGTTTTTTTTTTCAGTTGTGTTGAAAGGCTGTTAGAGGCACATTTTACCTGACTGGACAGTTAATGAGAGTTAATTAAAACCCTCTTGAAATCCAAATACACTTCAGCCTCTCAACTATGCAATGAAGGGTGTTGTGCATACATTAAACTGGGAAATTAGTATCAGGTTATAATTGGGGTAGGGGCTAAGCTTGGAAAGACAGAAAAAGTTGTGCAATTAACTCTGTGAGCTAATTATGAGAAAAGCTATTTAGATGTTTACTCTCATCGGTAGCATTGTCTGCAAGCAGTTGTCGAGAGCTGTGAATGCAGAGTGAAGATAAAAGTTGTTTACTTTTAATGGTAGGATTTAACCATAGACAGTCAATCATTTATTATTCTTGGTCGGCTGTTGAGCCCCTACATTTGGAGTCGAGCTCTGACGTAGCATAACACGAGTTAATACTTTAGAGCTATCTTTGTGCAGATTATTTATAGCTCTGAGAATATGGCGCAACTTTGCTAACATTGCATGTGTATGGAAGGTGCTAACCATGCTCTTAATGCAAAAACAAACCCTTCAGTGGCTGGTTAAAATGAGCTAAAGCCGTTAATGGTTAAACAGAGCTATGAGAGAAACAGTGACGTGTGAACCAAAATGAAGCTGTACACATCAGAAATAAGGGGGGGAGGGGGGCACTTGAGTTGAGTTCTTCTTACTGTTTCATTTTGAAACTGGACTTAATTTCAGTCCGGCGGACAGAAACAAGATTTATTCAGAGTGTCATCTTAATTATACAGAATGGATAAGAAGGAGTTGGCTGCTCACATTAAAACATTTGAATAAGCAAGTTTTTAAAGCATAGTTTATGTCCAAAGTTGTGTTTTTTTCTACTTTGGCGTTGTTTGAAGATGCATGTCACCTTAAAAAAAGTCATGTTTTTTTCGTTGACTATGTGTGGGACTGAAATTAGTAGTTCAGCCTTTTTATGACCTTCAAAAGCAATTTCTTTTCTTTATGGTGACTTTTACAGTTTCTAGAGTTCCTACAGGAGCTTTAAAATGGAAAACTTCATTCAGTCACCGTTGATTGACAGGTGTTAATTGATATAGCCGAGGGGCTTTTCCAGTTTAATTGAGTATATTTGTTCAGCGCAGTCTATACAAGCCTGATGAAGTCAAGCAAACTTCCCCTTAATGCATGAACCCTTTTAAAACAATGCATTAACTCACATTATCTACTTCTCCCAGATCTAACTTCCACTTTAGGGTCAATCAGCCTCATTAGTGGTTGACCATTGTCTCCCTCGGTCATTAACTACAAACAAACCAGACATAGAGTTGACATATTTCTTAACGGCAGCAAAGATGTTTGTTAACCTTTGACTGTGCGTGGGACTCTGCTCATGTGCTCATTAAAAACTGAGCTGGTGCTGCCCGGGCACGGAGGCTTAGATGAGAATGCTTCAGAGCGCATTAGCCCCGATTACAGGGTGATGTGAGATGGCTGGGAGGTGACGTAGAAGAAACAGCTGGGTCCATCCGCCTGGCTCTTTCTGGAACATGGGGCCACAGACAATGTGGAGATGTCAGAGCCTTTCATGTTCAGGTTGAAGGTTCCTGTCAGGGCAAGGGGAGCAGGCCTCGACATGTCTGAGTCCCTCCAATCCACCTCCACATCCCCTGCCTCCGCCTGTACACAACTGTTGTTGGGTTATAGTCAGACACCTTTGCAGTTCAATTATATCAGTCTTACAGTTCTGGACAGTCAATGAACAACTTTCTCCTGAAGATACTAACAAGCAGGGACATCAACATGCCTCACAATACACAAGCTACACTTGAGTTTGATGCTGCAGGTGGTTATTATTGTAAAGGTGAACCTTAAACGCATCATAATTACAGGCTTGTTGAATGCATGTTGATCATTATGGTTTAGCACGTAGAGTAAAAACACAACAGGGCCACCTGGAAGGCAAAACTCAACAGATCTAAAGAGAGTAACAAACACTCTTTTAAATCAGGTGAGCTGTAATTTATGCACCCTGTTATGAAGTGAAGCTCTGAGTGTGTGTGTCTGTGTGTGTTTGTGAGTGTGTGTGTGTTTTCCACATACACACTCTGCTCCACTTTCAAAGAACAGCCAGAATGATAATTAGCTTGGCTTTTACATCTAAATGTCACATGTTGGCTATATTAAGACCACAATGCCTGACTTGACTTGTCCAATGTTTACTTTTTCCTCTCTTCTTTTGTACTTTCTTTTTAGGCTCTTCTTCATACTCCATTTGAACTACTGTGAAGTGTTTATTTTTCACCCAACAAAAGGGCAACAAACGCTGCATTTTGTTTTTTAAAGTTCTATCTCTTTCTAATGTCTTTTTCTGCAGCTTCCTTCTATGGTGATGGCTTTGTACAGCTCAAGGCAACAGAGTCGTCCGACCATAACAGTCTCCGCATTAGCTTCCGAACCTCCAGCACCAAAGGCCTTCTGTTTCTCGCCGCCGGCAAGACCGACTATTTCCTACTGGAGCTTCATGCTGGTCGCCTGCAGGTAGGTACAACCGTGGCCCTCACACATGAGCATATGTGTTCATGCATAGATGAGAACACACATGCATTGATGTTCAAGCATATAATACACAATGATCTTTGTGCTTCAACACACGCATGCGTATGAAAAAACATGACACACACGCGCGCACACACCCAGTGAGCACCCTGAGCTATTGCTCCATCTCATCTGACACTGTCAGTTTGTCAACACGGTAACACAAGCAGACAAGCCTGTGTGATGCGAGCCGAATGCTAACTCCAAACCAGGCGCTGGTCACAACAGGATTGTCACAGTGATTGTTATGTATTTTAGCTCCATTAATTGTAGTTGGTTCAGACTGCCGGTGTTGAGTCTGACAATAAATGAGTTTTGCTCCATAAATTGTCACTACTCCACTTGTCTACACTTGTCTCCTGGAATTTTAAAACCACACTGCTGCTAAAACGTTCAGATGATAAAAAAAAAATGCACAAAACACAGAGATTTTTGTCATTTTTTTAACGTTAATTGATCCAAAAAAAAAAAACATCAGCTCAGCTCTTTTTCATCCACAATGCTCCTTTTATATTAATCATCTATTGTCTAATTTAATGAGACAATTACCACTCAATTCCCAATTGTGGAATCTTGCTGCATGTATTTACTCACTTTCTCTCCCAGTGTCCTGCTATATGTGTCCCACTCATAGATCAAAAGTGAACTAAAATATTTGTTAACAGCCTCTGTAGTTGTACAGGCTTTTTTTTTTGTTATTATAGCGTATTAAAAATGTAAAAATATTGTTCCAGTGAAAAGAAATTTTAGATGGTCATTAATAATTGATTAACATCATCCAACAAAGTGAATTTTACCTATTTTAGGCCCGGTGTTTCATAATGAAATAGCTTCAAATGACTCTGTCAGGAAGTCTCAGAGGATAGCTTTTGTTGTAAGTAAAATATTTTCCTGACTCTAAATATAGAGAGGAACATAATATGCAAGAACACACCTCTGGATATGAACTTTTTACCTATTTAATGAGAAAACGTGTTTATCTAGGGTACACTTATGAGGTTAAATATGGGTTTATGTATAAAATTTAGTGCGCTATTTTTAGCTCACACCACAAGCCTTCCTACGAGGACTTCAGGGTTAAATACATTTGTCCCTTCAAGACTCGCTCTAAAGCATCTCATAAGCAGCTCTGCCAGGCTGAATCAGCATACAGAACGGACAGATGCACTGTAGGAAGCCTGTGTAATATGCGGAAACATTTATAAGAATCTCAGAGTCCTAAGACAGGCTTGATACCTTTCTGGCACTGAACTCATGAAATCTAAGTGACTAAGCTTCTTTTGCCTAACAATGTGCTACTGGAAATGAATCACAAAGTCGACCCTGAGCACTGTGGTTCTTCAGTGAACATGCTTGCCCTTGCTCCTTAAACAAGCTCAGGTCACTAATTTTTTTTTTTTTTGTTCACTAACACAAGTCATCCTCGGGCTTGGGGTCTCATTCCATGTGAGTCAGACACGAGCGTCACTCCCTGGAAACCCTCGCATGAATAGCAGGGACTCAGCAGCAAGCCTTGACAAGCATGTCATCTGAATGCAGAAAAGGCTTGAGATGGTGACATGATGCTGTTAAGAATATCGCTGGAGGCCAACGGATAATAGTTCTCTTCCTGCTTAAAATCACAGGATGAGGAGACAAAGATCACTGTCAAAATAACCCGTGACAATGAAGAATGTTGGCAAGACTCCCGTGTTTCACTTTTTAGGGGGTCATATTTCTGCATTCAGTCGTTTTTTTTACAAGTTCACAGACTGTTATAATTTTAATACAATGAAGTACTACATGTATAATGCTTTGTAGATAATTAAGCATGGAGTGACAGAGTATTACATTGAAAGGTAGTTTCCCAGTCGCATTTCCAAACACTGGCAGCAATTATTTTGTATCACAAAAATGTCAAAAGGTAAAAACACCTGCTTGATTCACTCATTCCAGAAATAAGATCTCTTGAGTAATGATTTTTTTCTTTCACCTCTCAGCTGAAAGTGGACCTTGGATCAGGGGAGGAAGTTCTGCACTCAGACCGAAGCACCCAGCTCAATGACCTCGCCTGGCACTCAGTGGAGTTGCACCATGCACAGAACAACATCACTCTGACTGTAGACAAGAACTCTCACTCCAGTGTGAAGATGCAAGGTTCGAGTAATGATCTCAAAATTGTGGATGGTCTCTTTGTTGGAGGTTCAGGAGGCCTGGATCGACCATACCTCCCTCGAGACCCTGTCGGCTTTCGAGGCTGCATGGACCAGGTGATCTTCAATGAGCATGACTTGTTGTTGTCACTGAGACCGTACACTGGATTCAAGAATGTCCATGAGGTGTCTTTAGGCTGTAGCCCCCAATTCTTTGCCACTGAGGAGGACCCCATCAGCTTCTTTAGTTCCAGGGCTTACATTTCTCTTCCAACCTGGATCACCCAGCAGGAAACAGTGTTTGAGTGTGTTGTGCACACTTCCGCCAAAGAGGGGATTATCCTGTATAACTCGGCCAGAGAGGGGGACTTTGTAGCCATGGAGATTCAGGAAGGTCTGCCGGTAGCCATCATTGGGAAAGGTGGAACCAAAACTGAGCTACGTTCCCTCACATTCATCAACGATATGAAATGGCATTCAATCAAGCTGCACTTCAATTCCAAAAGCCTCGAGCTCAGTGTAGACGGAGAGATAGTGAAAAGCAGCATTAATTCACGGTCAAAGAGCCTTCAGTTTAAAGGTTACCTGTTTGTCGGCGGTATCGATGACAGCACCAGATCAGAGGTCAGAAAGATGGGGCTCATTTCTGTTTCTGGAAAGCGTGTCAGAGGAGGCTCCTTTAAGGGATGTTTGAAGAACATTGAAGTCAACAGAGCAAAGATGGGTCTCTCCAACACTATAGTCACTAAAGATATCTCAGTTGGCTGTGAGCCAGAGAAAGCACCAGAACTATCAACTACCATTAGCCCAACAAGCACCCCAGCATCCCTTTTTCACTTGGTGACACCAACACCATCACTTTACATGTCAACCCTTGCAAGGGGCTTGGACAGGAGGTACGGCTTGAATTTCATGCAGCTCAAGAACCTTGTCGTCCATGAAGGTGGTCGTGCATCTCTTGAGGCCAAACACATCAAAGTACTCTTGGATTTTAAGAAACTCGGGATTCGACAGTCCCAGATCATGTTCAGAATTCAAGAGCAACCAGTCCGCGGTCAGTTAAGGCTTGATGTTGATCAAGACCAAGAGGAGAACACCTTCAGCATGTTGGACCTTTGGCACGGACGAGTCATGTACATCCATGGAGGCTCTGAGGAACTGGATGACTTCTTCATGTTTTCAATTTACTCCAGCAGTAGAAAGCCAGTTCCTGATTATCTCAAGGACAACAAGCTGTACCGTTACAATATCACAGTGTCGCCCACCAATGATGCACCTGAACTGAGCCTCCCTGAGGGAAACCTCTTTGTCCTGTTGGAGCACTCAAAGAAACGCCTCACCACAGAGGTTTTAAAAGCCACCGACATCGACAGCAACTACACTGACCTGGTCTTCTCTGTGCTTGGAAACCTGAATGCCGATGCAGGGTATTTGGAAATAGAAAACAACCCGGGCAAGGCAGTGACATCTTTCTCTTATGTAGACTTGGAGGAACTGAGGGTGTGCTATGTTCACACAGGGGTTCGAAACTCAAGGATAGTTTTTAGAGTCGGTGATGGGGAAAAGGTAAGCAACACTGTGGTGCTGCGGGTCATGGCGGTAGCTCTGGAGTATAAGATTGCCAACAACACGGGTCTCCAGATCATCCAAGGAGAGGCAGCTATAATTGGTTCAAAGCAGCTTGCTGTGCAAACCAATGCTGTTAAGCAGATTGTTGACATCCGCTATGATATCATTGAACCTCCCCAGTATGGAGAGCTCCAGAGACTTCACTCAAGTGGTGAATGGAGGTTGACTGACTCCTTCTCCCAAAGGCTTCTGGAAAAAGAGAGGCTGAGGTATGTGAGCTCTTTTCAAGAAATCCAGACAGCCAATGCAACAGATTACTTCAAAAGTAAAGTCACTGTGGCTGCAAAAGCAGAAACAGAAATACTTTTCCCAATCACTGTGAAGTGGGTGAAGTATCGCCTGGTGAGGAATGTTATGCTACACTTGGATAAAGTTAGAAAAGTGACACTAGACTCTGAGTGTCTTTATGCCACAGCTGATGGTGTGGATCTCTCAGAGGATGAGCTTTATTTTCGAGTTCTGACCATACCAAAGAAGGGGAGACTCCTACTGGACTCCACCGTCCTGGGGAAGAACTCAACCTTTAGCCAAAGAGACGTCACAAACCAGAAAGTCCATTATGAGCAAGTCGACAGGCCTTATGTAGATACAAGTGACAGGTTCAAATTTCAGCTGGTCTCTAAACATGCTCAGTCACAAAACTATGATTTCCAGTTTTCCATCAAAGCTGATGTCAACAGTGTGTTTATGAAAAATGACGGACTCTCACTCCTGGAGGGGGAAAGTAAACTCATCACCAAAGATGAGCTGTTTGCAGAGACTTTAAGTACGAAGGACATGTACTACACTGTCATTAGCAGCCCCAAACATGGTAAGCTAGCACGTATTAGCCAGTCAAATTCTAATGCTAGCTACACTAACATCTTGACCTTTAGTAATCAGGATATTCTAGAGGAACGGATCATGTACATCCATGATGACAGTGAAACAACTCAAGATGAGTTTAGCTTCATCGCGTCCACCAGCCAAGGGTTCAAATCTTCCATTGCAGTGGATGAAGTTGGCTCCAAAGAAGGAGTTTTTAACGTTTCCATTCAGTTAGTCAATGACCAAAAGCCAGTTCGTGTTATTGATAAAGTTTTTCACGTAGTGAGGGATGGGCAGAGGCTTCTCACTATAGAGGATCTGCGTTATCGTGATGGAGACTCTGACTTTGATGATGGCCACTTGGTTTACACTCGGCGTGGGATTCCAATGGGAGACCTGGTGCTTGTTAATGACACTAGTCACCGGCTGTTCCAGTTTCAGCAGAAAGATCTGGTAGAAAAGCGAGTTTTGTTCATTCACAGAGGCGTGAGCACTGGTAGGTTTGTGCTCTTTGTCTCAGATGGGAAACATTTTGTTTCGAGCCTTTTAGACATCAGTGCGCATGATCCTTTCTTGAAAGTTGGCAACAACACTGGCCTGCTGGTTCAAAAAGGCCATTCAGTCATCTTTTCCACCAGCAATTTTAGTATTGTGTCAAATTTGGACATCAGAGACGACCAGGAGGTCACCTTCACGCTAAATGAGCCTCCAAAGTATGGCGGACTGTATCTGAATGAAACTAAAGTGGAGTCATTCTCGCAGTCTGAGCTGAAGGACGGGCTGGTCTCATATCGGCACCATGACAGCAAACACCTGGCAGATTATTTCAACCTGACAGTGAAAGCTAAGGGCTTTCGACTTACAGAGAGGATCAATGTGAAGGTTTACCTGGAGAGTCATCAGAGGCCACCTATTGTGCTGAATCACAACACCTTACTGGTGGAAGAAGGGAAACCAGCGAAGATTGATGAGACTATTCTAGAGGTGAGTGATTCAGAGGAGACTCAGGCTCAGAGTTAGATCAAATTTCATGCTGTCAGATATGATTTATATTATTCTCATGGAATTTGTTGAAACCCAAACTGGGACTTCCACATATTTGAATATTCATTGTAAAAGCATTTCATTAAAAAGCCTCCATTTACTATTTTTATGGTTTGTGCAGTGGAATATCTGGCATATTAGTAATTAAATGGATGAATAAAAGGCGAACAGGGGATAGAAGACTGAATACTGACCAGTGTACACTGATGCCATGTTGTATTTATAGAAATATGAGAGATAAACCGCCATGACACATGGAACATTTCAAATTTAACCACTGAAGTATGTTCTCTGATTGATGCAGGTCACTCATGAGGACAACCTGCCATCTGAGATTGTATTCACAGTCACGGCAGGCCCGTCTCACGGCTTTCTCCGGCGTTTTGTGGAAGCCGAGGAGCGCTACATCGGAACTAAACAATCCCCTGTCAAGACATTTACCCAAGAGGATGTGAACGGCGGGAACATCCAGTACATGCAGGTGGAGCCCAGCAAAGTCAATGACACTTTCCTCCTCGATGCCTCCAACGGGGTCACCGATGTTGGTGACATTAGGATGTCTGTTGACATCATTCCACGCCTCATCCCTCTTCAGGTCTCCAATTTCACACTAAACGAGGGCGCCTCAAAAGCGCTAACCAAGGATGTGCTTAAAGTGGACAACCGGCACTTTTCTGAAAATAATATCCTGTATAGTTTGACTGAGCCCCCCCAGCACGGCCACATCGAACACTCCCGACACCCTGGTATAACATTGACCTCTTTCATCTGGAGGCAGGTGAGATATTACAGTCACTCTTTAAAGGCACTATAAGGAGTTTTTAACTGGATGGGAAGCAGACTGAAACTGATACTGATGCCTCTTAGAGACCTTAAAAAGCAAACAAGCCCATTAGCAACAAGTCTGATCATTTCACTGTAGTAATTTTTGACGCTTTAAAACGCTTTGAGAGGGATTGGCAGTAAGCTGAATATTAATATTTTTGACTTTTCACACAACAAATACACAAATTCCATTGTTAAAAGACAACAGGATGATTTTTTTCCTGTCACATATACAGAACAACAGATATGAAGCACGAGTTAAGGTGAGAGTTAGTCGACATTGTATCCTAAAGCCTTTAAGGCTCCTGTAAGGAACTCTTTACATGTGTTGATTTTGGCGTCCCCTGTGAACAAAGTAATACCTCTCCCTCTCTTGACTTACACATTTTATCAAAAAAGCATCACTCTAAATATCAGTCTACTGAGAAACCAGTTCAAAGTCGTCACAGTGGCGGATTTAAACTTGTTGATGGATGGATTTAGAAATAGATCATCTGACTGGTTGTTATTGCAGCAATTGTTTCAGGCCCAATTATTAAACAGGGTCCTCCTTTTTTCTGTCATTCTACATATTTGGTTTCAGATTCAAGCTTTCCTTCATGCGGGAAATGTTACCTGAAACTCATCACTGCTAATAAAGTCAAAACACTTATGGATAAAAAAAAATAGCTCTATCCTGGTGCGACCTCTTACACCGAGCCTGTTCCACCTGGAGTCTTCTCACCATGCAGTTTTTACCTCAGATGTTATCGTCCTAGTTAATTTCATAAATATTACAAAGCAACAGTGAGATTTTTCTTTCTTTATTTGATTGTGCAGTTGCAGATGTCTAAAAAGTCATGAAAGTGCTTTGTTTCTGTCGGCCTGGATCTTTGTAGTCTTTTATTTCGGGTTCTCTCCAATAACTTCCACTATGTTTAATCAGGTGGAACATGAATTCATTTACTACGTGCACGACGGCAGCGAAACATTTGCTGACAACTTCACCATAGTGGCCAACGACACAAGCCTGAGGAAGCAGAGTGCAGCACAGACGGTGTACATCCAGGTTACAGCTGTCAACGACGAGCCTCCTGTTATTACAGCCAACCGCGTCCTCAGGGTGAGTTTGCACCACTGCTCTATATTTAAACACTGGACTTTTTTTTTTTTTAACTTGTGAGTCTGGCACCAATGCTTACTGTCAGACAATTTTCATGTGGGCAGTGCTCTAAGTTGCCACGGCTGGTTGGGTGAGGGAAACTATGTTTGCTATGTGGAGGAGGGTCCAGAGGGGCCAGTCTGCAGAGGGCAGGCATTGACATACATTCAGCTGTGCCTGGGTCTTGTCTGCAGTTCTGTTATGGTTGTAAGGTGTTGAGTTTTCAAACACATGACCCAAGGAAGTAAAGGAAGTGAAGTAACGCACTAGTACTTTTTGTTTGTTTGGTTGTAAGGGATGTTTGTTCCGTCTATTGCAGAAGAAACTTCTATTTTGCATAGGTTGGTGACTGTGACTGGAATTGTTATCTAAGACTCCTCATGAATATAAAATATTTTAAATCAAATGGAAAATAACCGCCAGGCAGTGCACAGTCATTAAACTTTACTGGTGAAAATATGTCGATTGAATTCTGCCTTTTTGCATGATGACATTTCCTTGAATAAAGATCTCTGGTTGTGTAGCCTCAATGCAGCACTTGACTCCCCTCTTCCCTCTCTTTGCAGAGAAAAACCCACCCCTATCTGTAAAAAAACAACCCATAACTACATCCGTTTTAAGCATGTTACTCGTATATTTGATAGAAGTTGTCAATGTGCTGAGCAGTTCTGACTTGTACTCTGTCAGCTGTAGTGGCTGGGGTTGGGTGAGGTCCAGCTGGAAAGAGAGGCCGAAGTATAGCTCTCTATTGTCTGAGCAGCTTTGCCCCAGATGCCTCAAATTCCTCTGGGACCCTGCACTGAAGACCCCCTTCTTAAATATACAGTATGGATAACATCAGGAACTGGGTTGGATTACAGTTGTTTGCAACTAACCCTAACCCTAGAGTTGTTTACCATTTTTACCATAGCTTCATAAGGCATAATGCTCACTCTTTATAGCACTTAGTAAACATTGCTTTAAGCTTTTTAATGTACTTATTAGGGGTGGGAGAAAAAATCGATACAGCGTAGTGTCACAATATTCTGTCTGGTGATATATCGTATTGTCTCATTGACCAAGTACCAATTTTTCAAATTAATTTGCTAATATGAAGTCAAATCTATGATAATGGAAAAATAAAATCAATTGTTTGACCAGTGAGGTTGGAGGTGACATCATAGAGCAGGAGAAAGTTAGTGCAACAAATATATATATATAAGGTTTGCAAGATGTGCTACATGAAATAAAATGCTGTGTAAATAAGAAAAACATGAAGGAAAGACAAACACTAAGTTTGCTAAACAGTTGAAAAAATTGTATAAATTGCAACATATGGTATTGCAATATGCACTATGTTGCAAAATGTTAAAAATTGCAATAATATTGTATTGTGGGGCCACTGGTGATTCCCACATCTAGTACTTATGATGCATTATAAGAAGCTGATTCATATAAAGTGTTGCAGATGATTTTTTGCAGATACAAACCACAAAGATCTCCACCCATAAATCAAGGAGTAAAAGCACAAAAGATTTGGAGAGAGTCCTCTCTATTCAATTGAAGACGTGTATCCAAAACAGGACTATAAACACACAACCAAAATCCTCAGCATATACAGAGAATGTAGATTATCTCCTCCAACGCCTGTCTTGACAGGTTTGTGTTTTTACTGATTCCTGAGATAAACCAACAGCGTTCGAGGTGCTGATTAAAAGAGAGCTGGGTTTTTACTGTCCACAAGGTGGCTCTCTCCCTCTGCACATTATGTTAGCTCTCAAACCTGAACTGTTGACAAGACCTGTTTACACGTCTAGTAAGAAAGAAAAATCACTATTATCACTGTTTTGTGTTACCTTAAGTTGCAGCAGTTTATCCTGACACCTGAAGTGTTTTGAAAAAAAAGATAGCTGAGAGGGATTTTTGTGTGCGAGCTGTGCTGCAGAGATTATATTTGTTACATAAGCTGGAGATGCTGAACAAACCCTAAAACCACCCTGCAGGAGGAACCAATTAAAGTCAGAATGGTTACATCTGCTTCTCCATCACAAAACACAACTCACTTGCCAAAAATGTTAATTACTGTTCACTTCGCATGCTTTTGGTTTTGTAGCTCTGGCAGTTTTAATTTGCAAATCTTTGACCTGTTTCTCTTTCTGAAAATCTCAAAGTAATGTCTCTATTAACAGAATGTGTCTGGCTGTCAGGTTTTCACAGTGCAGCTAAAACTCATTGAGTTGTCACATAAAGCTGTGTGTGACGTCTCTTGTCACATTTTTTTTTAAGTGATAAATTTTTCATGTGACCTAAAAACAGAAGGACGGTTGAATACCATACAAAGTGTGGCTGTATAAAAAAATCGTCTTTAACTTTCTCAGTTTCCGTGAGATAAAAAGCGCACATTAAAACAACACCTCACAAATAAACAATAACGGATCTGATGCAGCAGTGGGGACTCAGAGGAATTGAGTAGAAGTGGATCAAAGATGTAAGAGCGCTGAGGTCTCTCTGCTCCTTCGCTAAAGCTGCAGCCTGACGAGCAGCAGACTCCCCGCTAAGTTTGAAGGACTGATCCCGACTCTGAGGGCCTGTTTGTGCAAATTAATCTCATGTGTCTCCTCTTTGAAATCTGTGAGTCAAACTGATTATCAAACCCAGCAGACTGATCCTGCTGTGACTTCCTGTTTGGAGGGTTGATGTTGCTGCGTGAGGTACAGTCATTTCCCGTTGGATGAACACACGTTCGCATGTGTGGCGGGTGTTCTCACGTGGGAGTGGTGTGATGTTTGCGGTGTTTAAAGGTGCTAATTGAAAAAAGTACCCCGGCCCATGCCTCTTTTCCAGTAAGTAACACTTAACAGGCAAGTGAGAGGCCGGGCCAACACGTACACCTCAGCCTTTAATTTTTGTCATTTGAAAGCCCATTAGGACTCCAGTGTCACTCTGTATTTAGTGGGTTTAAAAGGTAAAACCAATCCTCAGATTTTCTAAGACTCTAAAGTATCCTGTGATGCACCCCTGCTGCTGTTTTATAACATCTTCTTCAGCAATTTTCACTTTTGAAGAGTGGGATCACTGACATTTAGAGAGGAGCTCTGAGAACTCTCCATTACATCCACCAGCATGGGAACATTGAGGAGCTGCTGTGATCACACCACTCCTCTTAGATACACATCTTGTAGCTGCCTTCGACTATGGCTCATTTCCACCATGTGATGCTTTAAGTGTAACTTATGGAAGTGTAATGCTGCCACACTGATAAATTAAAAAGGCAGAGTATCACAAAATAGCGTAATACGTATCACGTTTATTTCACTTAAAAGTATGATTTTTCGTTATTTCAAGATAAGATAGCCTGCTTTCATGTCATAGCATAGCTTCTCCCACTGTGAACTGGTATTTGAGCGAGCTCCTAATTCAAAATACTTCTTAGAGTACGCATACTCATAAAAATCTCATCCACAGTGCTCAATAACTGTAGAATCTCACCATGTCTCAAGCCATATCAGATTGTGGTCACGAGGAATCTGAGGAGGTCGTATCTCCCTGTCCCCAGTACCACCTGCGTGCATGAAAACACGATCAATTTATGTCATTGGGGACTAGCGTTCTGTGCTCTTCCTCTTGTTTAGAGGTGATGCACTCTGCGTGACCACTTACCGTAAAAAAAACTGTTGTTCAGAACTGCGCACAACATGCTGACGTACTTTCTACCTCCCGACAACCATCTTAGAAGTGACAATAAATTTATAAATATCACACTTGCTCAGAAGTGTTGCTTTGTGCAAACAGGGTCTACAGTTTCAGCTGCGGTAAGAAATCTGCAAACCTGTAAACCTTCAAAAAAAATGAAGAAAAAATACACAAATGAATCATTTTTAAAGCACCTTTATTGTTTTTTCACGAACCCTTTTTGTCATGATAAAAAAAGTTGTTCTTTTGCAACAGTTGCTATGAAAACAATCAAAAATATTGTATTTTTTCATACTTTAAAGAAAACAAATATTTCTACTGACATATCTAGATCTATGAGAGTAGCAAAGTAATTAACATGACCTAAGCCTGTTTATGTTCTCAGCTCTTCATCGTTGTAGCCTGACTGTGCAAACGCCTCACTGTGGTTTTCTGGGAATAGAACCTGAAATTGGCATTATTACCTGTACTCTTTCTACTTTGACTCACCATAATCTGCTGCTGCTGCTGCTAAAAAAGTAGGTTTCTGTTGCAGCCTTTTAGCAATTACTGAGGAATCCCAACCTGTGAGAGGGACACTGACATGTTACGCAATAACGGCTCGGGCCAGGACTACAGAGGAGGCTCATCCTTTGTTTGTCAGGAGTCTGCATGCTTCAGCAGTTTTGTGCTCTGTGTGTCAATGAGTTCCTCTGTTCCTTCATGTTAGCTCAAGGCTCTTTGAATTTACATGGAAGCAGAGCCTAAACTGTGGCTCTCTGACACGCTGCAGCTCAACCAACTGTGCGTACAATCTGCAAGGCTATATTTAGTGCCGAGATGTCCTTCACTTGAATTATGTGGAAGAGCGCTTCTTGAGTGATGCTCACAGTGACATTTTCCTCCATAGGTTGCTTTTGACTCTAGGTGCCTCAGTCAGAGACGGTTTTCACAGCTTTTGTTTGTTGGATCAGACACTGCGTGAAGTGAGAAATGTGAGGTTGGTGATTGGTGATGAAGGATGAGGTCAAATCTGCTGTTCCTGCTGGTCTTTAAGTGTCATACCTAGCAAAATAGTGCTTATGTTAAAGTTAAAGTATTTGTCCTTTGCATAAACAAACAATCGAATATTTTATTTCTTCCATCAAAGTAAATGTCAGGCTCACATTTGGCGGTCACGTCATGTACTGTCAAACAGAATATCTTTGTTGCTCTGTCCCCGGAGGCCTCTGCTTTCACATGGATTACAGATGGCACCTGCTGTGTCCTTGTCCATCTCCTGTCCAGGTTTGGGTGTCCTCAGTCACAGAGATCAGGCCGGAGGATCTGAGAGCACAGGACCTTGATAGTCCCCCAGAGGAGCTGCACTTCATGGTAACTCCGCCCAGCAATGGGCACCTGGCCCTGAAGAGTGCCCCCATGATGGCCGTGCTGAACTTCACCCAGGCGCACATCGACCAAGGACAGCTGCTGTTTGTTCATAAAGGTAAAAACCCGTTTGAGCTGCTGAAATACAAACCCTACATTGCATTCATGAATAAAAACAAGACATTTAGTTTAAAGGGATATTCCGGTGTAGAAATTAAATTAGGGTCAAACACACTGTAACACTGAGTTAGACACCCCGTTGAGAGATGAATGTTGCCGACTGCTTGCTTCTCTAGTTATACCAACTTTAGTAATGACTGCACCATAGCAATACACAGCGGTCTGAGGAGCCATAAACAAACCTCAACCAAAAAGCCACTCTATAGCCACAAATAATGCTCAGAACAGCACCTAACTTCATCAACAGTACATCAAGGGTCCCAGCCATAGTACTAGCCACCAAACATCTTTTTAACTTTGCCTAATTTCTTTAGCAAAGAGGCTAAACACAACTCACCTACTCTCTTCCAGCAGCTGCTTGTTTGTAGCGAGACCTCGGGCCAGTCCATTACAGATTGCCAGGTGACGCAGCTCAAGGAAGAACATGTATAATAATTTCTTTATCATTTCCCTAAAGTAATAATCACCATATTAATCATTTTGCACTGCAGACGTGGTAGTTCTTCTGCCTTGGCGTTTTGGTCTGATTACATTTCAGTGAGGAAATGATCATAAATGGTCTTCTTTAAGCTGCGTCACCCAGCAGCAGTCCGTAATGGACTGGCCCGAGGTCTCACTACAAACAAACGGCTGCTGGAAGAGAGTAGGTGAGTTGTGTTTAGTCTCTTTGCGAAACAAATAAGGCAAAGTTAAAAAGATGTTTGGTGGCTAGTGCTGTGGCTGGGACCTTATATGTACTGTTGATGAAGTTAGGCGCTGTTCTGAGCGTTATTTTTGGCTATAGAGTGGCTTTTTGGTTGAGGTTTGTTCATGGCTCCTCAGACCGCTGTGTATTGAAATCATGTGGTCGTTACTAAAGTTGGTATAACTGGAGAGGCAAGCGGTCGGCAACATTCATCTCTCAAAGGGATGTACAACTCAGTGTTATAGTGTGTTTGACCCCAGATTAATTTTATGCCGGTATATCCCTTTAAGAAAGGCTCAAATTTTGTGTGTTTTATCTTAATTTATGATTTCATAAAAGAAACTGAACCAGACATGTGAGGAAAAAACTTATATATAATGGGCCTCACTTGGATTATCATTTTATATCAAGTTATAATTTTGAAGTTTAAACAAATCATCCAGAAAAACTTCAATCAATATGTAGCAAAAACTTGTATTCACAGTCATTTTTGTTTTGTGAGGGTAAAGTTTTGTCTGATTTAAAGATTAAAATGTCAGTAATTTTGGGCAGCAGCTCCCCAAAATATGTACAATCCTATGTAGGAGTTTTTCTAAATATTGTGTCATATATTCCCAAAATGCATACTGTTCGTTTAATGTCACACAACGCAATTTATGAGCTTTTCAGTTGCTGTTCCTCTTGCGTCCACTAGAAGATGCTGTTGATGATTCCATCCGGTTTGATTTACTTTCTCTTGTGTCTGCCTGCAGATCAGGTTTCTGCTCACTGTTCTGATTCTTATCTCCTCTCCTTCTTTGCCTCCACTTGTACCTCCAGGAAAGGTTGTAATATTGGTGTGTAAGGGTCTTGCCCTGGCCTACATGTTAAGGAGCGTCTCTCTCTGTTTTTTGCTCACACTGCTACACTACTATCTACAATTTATTCTGAATAAGTATTTCTTCAAGGAATAGGAATTTAAGGCTTGCACAGCAGTTTTTGCTTTGAGACCAACAAAAGAAATGCTGATCTGGTGCTTTTTATGTGTATTTTGCAGAAACCAAGCCCAGCTTATCTGTGTGTTTGTTTCAGCCAAGAACAAAGTGAAAACATGCACACAAAACTGAGGCGCAGTTGTTTGTTGACAGCTTCGCACCAGAGTCTTCTCAACAGTTTTGAGATTTAATTTCATTTTCTGTTTCTTCTGACATCTAGGTGCCATGTCAGGAGGATTCAACTTCCAAGTCAATGACGGCGAGAACTTCACACCCAGGCAGATCTTCAGCATCACCGCCAGAGCTTTAGTCCTCAGCTTAAAGAAAAACCGACCTCTTAAGGTGTTTCCAGGTACATCACACTGAGTCATGCTTTTTCAAAGAATGTAAAAGTTTAGTAAATATGAGACTCAGCAGGAACTATTTTGAGTCATAAGTGAATGAAAAGTTTGGTGAAACAGTGAGTATCTATAGCAGTAGGGAGCATATGGGTTTAACCTTTTAGGCTTTGTCTACATGCACACCTCTTAATCGTGTGGATTTATGGGCAGCTTAAAGGAATATTCCAGCATAAAATTAAGTTAGGGTCAAACACACCATAACACTGAGTTAGACACCCCCTCGAGAGATGAATGTTGCGGACTGCTTTTTAAGTTATAATAACCTTAGGAACGACCGCACGATAGCAGTACACAGCGATCTATGGCTCCACACACAAACCTCAACCAAAAATCCACTCTATAGCCACAAATAATTCTCAGAACAGCACCTAACTTCATCAACAGTACATAAAGGGTCTCAGCCATAGTACTAGCCACCAAACATCTTTTTAACTTTGCCTGATTTCTTTAGACTAAACACAACTCACCCACTCTCTTCCAGCAGCCGCTTGTTTGTAGGGAGAGCTTGGATGAGTCCATCATCAACTGCAGCGGAGTTACACAGCTCAAGGAAGAACATTTATGATCATTTCTTTATCATTTCCTTGAAGTAATAATCATCATATTAATCATTTTGCACTGCAGACACTGTAGTTCTTCTGCCTTAGCGTCTTGGTCTGATTGCATATCCATGGCTTTTTGGTTGAGGTTTGCGTGAGGAGCCATAGACCACTGTGTATTGCTATTGTGCGGTCGTTACTAGAGTTGGTATAACTGGAGAAGCAAGCAGTCAGCAACATTCATCTCTCGAGGAGGTGTCTAACTCGGTGTTACAGTGTGTTTGACCCTAACTTAATTTATGCCGGAATATCCCTGACAGAAGAGGTTGTTGACCCAAAGAAAAGTACATTTTTATATTTAAATGCATTCCCCATATCATTATCTTCATCATCAACCTTTATCAAAGCCTTAAAAGCCATTAAGGCTCCCCTCATTAACAGTGATACACAGCATCAAGATTTCCCCTGCCACATTCCCCGTCAGTGTTTGTAAGGAGTTATATCTCAATGGACTAAAATCACAAACATTTTAAAAGTCTAGTTCCTTTTTGCAAGCTTTGAGTCAAGGTGAAACTTAGACATCTGTGTCCTAAAAACGAACTGAAACAACCTATTCTTGTTGTTTCAACCACTACTCTTATCCACTCTCAGTCCCTTTTTAGTTTTACTGTTAATATCCATAAACAGCGTGCTCACTTCCCCTTTCAGTTTCCTTGTAACAGCTCTTCTGAAGAATTTGAAGAATTTTTGTGGATGTGGATGTCAGTGACACCTTGCGCTCGGCCACTTCCCAGAATCCCATTGGTTAGATTATTTTTCACATTCTCGACAGTGAAATCACCACTCACATACCAGACTTGTGAATCAACTGCTGCTTTTGCTCAGTGTTTTGATGAGCTGTAGTATACTACTTTTAATACTCAACAGCTAAAAATAGCCTGACTGGGTGTTGTCAATGTCTGCGAGCATATTTAAAGGTTCTCATAGATTTCCAGAGGTCTGGTTTGTGAGTTAGAGGGAGAGGATGCTGTGGGGAAGCAAACTGCCAACTGGCACGGTCTGCTAAGCTTCCCAGCCACAGGGCGAGAGGGTACTTGAAAAGCTGTGCCACTGTCTGTCTGAGGCAGCTCTGTTTGTGCTTTGTGCCAGGCGGGGCAGAGGGAGGAGGGGTGGGCTGTGAGCTTCAACAGACAATAAAGGGTTTTGATGGGGTTAGAGGGGAGATGAAACACTTTCACTCTCTGAAGGTAAGATTAATGTTTCCTCGCAAAGTCTTCAAAGCCTTTGATTGTTGGGGGACTTTGTAAAAGTCTGCAAATACTCCTGCGAGCACTCTGACAGGAACACGACATCGCCTCCAAATACAACTCAAGGACTGATGGAGTCATTCATGTTAGAAAAGTAATTAACTCAACAAAACTAGTCATTCCATTCAATGTTGTTTAGATAGCTAAGGAAGGACGTTTGACTGTATTTTCTCCCTGAGATAAACGCTTCTGCTTCTTCAGGAGTAACTGCAGGTTTCTTTTTTTCCTTGAGGCTGCTCAAACAACAATAACCTTCACAGTTTAAGAGTAAGGTCAGGCAGTGTGAATATAACCTGAGAGGCAAAAGCAAGTGAATCAGACATGTGCTTCAGATGAAGTTTAGAGACGCTTGAACAATATTCTGATATGATCCGTCTCAGTTTATAATTATCATTTTAAACCGTTTTATTGTTGTATTTTGATTTATTTACTATCAATCTACATACTTTGAACACATGGACTATGAATATTCAGGATAAATGTGTCTTGAAATATCAACCCCCAACAGAGAGCTATGAAGGTTTTCTTTCTAAAAAGCTTATCTTCGCCTCTCCCTGGGAGGGCCATATTTCCCGGGAGCGCTCATGACAAGTGATGAATGAATTTCTCTGTGCTCTTTTCCTATATCACTGCTTTCAGTGGTCTTCATATACCAGCAGCCTTTTTTTTTTGGATCCACACAATCTGTGGAAATTTCCGTAATTGTCCCTTAGAAGAATAGAAGCCCTCAGTCGTCAGTTCTTGTCATCGTGCGCAGGAGATGTTTCTCTTTTCATTTTACCCAAGTGGAAGATCGCTGAGCCTTCAAGGAGCTGATCCACTTTTAATTTCTTGTTTGGATTTTATGTAACAGCCCGCACTGCAGTTGGACAGAGCCGTAAAAAAAAAACCCTCTGTGATGTCTGCAGTGCAGCTTTAATTTGACACATCAAAGACCTCTCATCTGTCTATTCCTCGGCTTGTTTTGCATAATTTGGAGCCAACAAGATGTGTAATGCTTCCACAGGGATAAACTCGCAATATTTGCAGCCACACAGTTTTTGCAGCGATGTGGTCACAGTTAAGCTACAAAGCAGACAAGTCGAGCTGATTATGCTTTATACACTTTCATCCCTTCAGTTATCTTTTCAACCAGCTACTTTTCAGTATTGAATTTTGCAATTTTCCCCTCAGGCTCCTCTGCACCTATCACAAGTGACGATCTTGAGGCAGTGACCAATGACATCAGCAACACCTCGAGCCGTGTCATTACATATAATGTGAATCGGCATCCCAAACTGGGGCGTCTGGTGATGAAGCAGCCTGACAACTCGACAGTGGATGTCTCAACTTTCACACAAGACATGGTGAGTCAAAAACTTCAGGTGGAAACAGAGCATTGGATTTAACAGAAGTGTATTTAACAGGAAAATAAAAGTAATGTGAACTAGTTGAAGACAAAACATTAGGATTGATCTGTTTATGTGGAGAGCTGCCAGATTTAAATGTTATGAATAATTTATATTCTGCGTCCTCATTCAGGAAATCCACTTTGAGCGTCTTTAGCTGTATGTAAGGCTTTTATGTAATCAATTGTTTTGATGGACTCTGATCTGACACAGTAAAAGCTGTGCTTTTAAGCTCTGTGTACTTTATTTACTGCTGAGCATAGCCGATTTAAATTAATAATGAAATCTAATATAGACTGTAATCCTTCAGATTGGTGAGGGATTAAAGAGGCTACTGATCTGTTTATACAGTTGATTGAACCATCAGTTCCTTTAAGGGATAACCGATCTGCGTCTCCTGCAATCTGTTTATGTGGATTAATTTTGGTCCAGGGTTTGCTTGAAGATGTGTGGTTTTTGTGTGGTTTCCTCAGGTGGACAGAAAAGTGATCATGTACATTCAATCCCCCGTGGAGTCAGTGGGCTGGGAAGCCATGGACTCCATGACCTTCTCTGTGGTGTCACTACCTACCTCTCTGGACAGCCAGACCTTCAAAATCGACATTTCCTATGAGAACACTGGACCTGAACACAACACAGTCCTGCTGGCAAATACAGGTACGGACAAAAGTGTAATGTTTATAGGTTGACTGTAGTTTATTGAAGTTTTATCAATGTAACAACTTTAAATAGAACCAAGTGTATTTTGATCATTAGTAAATGGTAAACAGACAGTTATAAATAGTGCCTCTTCTGGCCCTCTGACAAATCAAAGCGCTTTTATATTGCATGTCATATTCACCCATTCATGCCACATGCATATGCTGATGACAGAGGCTGCACCCCCGGCATTAAAGGCACTATGAGGAGTTTTTGACGGGCTAAAAAGCAGACTGAAATTGAGGCCAATTCCTCTTCTTGACCTTTAAATTTAAACTATACCATCAGCGAGGAGGCTGATCATTTCTTTAGGTAATTAATAATGCTTAAAACAGCTGTGGGAGGGACGTTGTTGGACCGGAAGGTGGACAGTGAGGTGAAAAAAACTGCCTAGTTTGACTCTCTCTACAGCGAGTACTCAGAGTGAGTGAAATAGGATGAGTTTTTTGTCTGCAAATGTTTCTTTCACATGTATAGGACATTAGATAAGAGGCTTCACTATGTCTACAGGGGGCGCTAGTATCAACATGAACAAAACATTTCCTCACAACGGCTTTAGATAAAATTTGTTCATATGTTTTGCACTACAAGGCCCACCCAAAAAGGGAACCTTCTGGTACTTGAATAAAGTCCTGGGTTACCATCCAATAGTATTTACGGTATTTTATTGTGGACCAAACCAATCAACCAATTGACTCCTTATTGTCATCCAAGATTGATACCACTACCAGCCTTAGAAAAGCAAGCTCATGCTCTTGTTCACTTTAATCACTTCACTATGTTACACACATGTCATTGGTGATGAGGTCAGTGTTTGCCTCTGTTCCAGGTGCTGAGTTAACAGAAGGGGGGAGCGTGGTTATCGATGAATCAAAGCTGGATGCCAGTAACCTGATGTCCAAGCTGCCGACAACTCAACGGAGTTCCCATGAGGTCTGGTTCCAGGTTGCGTCCCTGCCTCAGCATGGCGTCATAGTCGTAGGGGAGAGAAACCTCACCAAGGAGAAACCCAACTTCTCCCAGTTCATCCTCAACAAATACGGTATCACCTACAAGCACGACAACTCAGAGACAACTCGTGATTCTTTCTCATTCAGTGCGTGGATAAATGCAAAGGGAAAAACGGCTCAACGTCCTGAGGATGACAGCGATGTAGTTGAGGAGCATTTCAACATCACAATTACTCCCGTGAATGATCAGCCACCTCTGCTGAAAACCAAAGCTCCAAGCCTGAGGGTGGTGCAAGGAGATACAGTTCCTCTGAGGCCTGAGAACCTTAAAGTTGAAGACTTAGACAATCCCCCTGATGATATTAAGTTCTCTGTGATTAGTAAACCAAACAACGGTTATCTAGCTCTTAAAGGAAGTTTGAATGAGTCAGTAGTGGCCTTCACCCAAGCCCAAATCAATAATGGGAGTGTCTATTTCATCCACGATGGGAGCAGTGCCTCTGGGGTGTTCTACTTCAGTGTCACTGATGGTCATCATAAACCAATTTATAAACTTTTCAATTTAGAAGTGACAGAAATCACAATTTCTGTGGTCAACAACACTGGGTTGACACTGGAGCAAGGCCAGACTTCAGCATCACTGACCCAGGACAACCTTGCTGCTGAGACGAATGGGAAAAACATCACCATCCACTACTGGATAACAAAGACCCCAAGCTTTGGCAAAATCCTCAAGGACGACCAAGAGGTCTCACAGTTTAAACATGAGGATCTACAGACTAGAAGGTTGTCCTATCATATGACCTCCCTGTCCTCTGCTGAAGACAGCTTTGAGTTCACGGCCTTCTCTTCAGAGGCTAATCTGACCGGCCAAGTACTCAACATAACTGTCAGAGCTGCGATCCAGGTGAACGAAGGTGTGAGGATTCCCAATGGGATTGATGTCAGACTTAATACGAACTTTCTCAACGCCTCTGAACTGGCAAAATCCAGTGATAGTGACCCTGTATTTGAAATTATCTCCCATCCCAAGTATGGGAAGGTGGTTTGGACAAAACCTAAGCTGTCCAGAAAAGCTGGACAGGTGGAGTCATTTACCTTTCAGGACATGATGCAGGGTAAAGTAGCCTTGAAACTGAATGCCAACATGACTGGAGTTCAAGAGCTTAATGACTCCCTGGTGTTTATTTTAAAAGCTGATAAAGTCCAACCTGCCAAAGGTGAGTTCCACTTTACAGTTGTGCCATATGATCCAGCACTTTTTGCAACCACAAAGAGTCCCGTGCCAACCACATCAACTGCTCCACAAACACCATTTCGGACTTCGAGAAATGGAACTGCATCACCGTTCATGTCTACGGCTTTCTTCACCACCCAGCAACCGAGCAAAAACCACCAGAAGTTCAAGGCGCGCAACCGGTGGGGCAACTCCAACAGAACAAGCATTTTTGGGACGACTCTTGGCAAAACAACACGCGGACCAGAGGATTTTCCATTCAGGAACACCCCGGTCCGTGTAGAGTCATACCCTCAAAAAACCTCCAACCCTCTCCTGGTGATCCTGCCCCTGCTGGCTTTGCTGCTGCTTATAATCATCTTCGTCGTCCTGGTCGTCTTCCTTCGACACCACAGGGAAAGGAAGCACAGCGCCACAACACAAAACGAGGAACCCTCCACTGGTCTCCCAACCAGCCAGTCCTGCCCCGGTCAAACCCAGAGGAGCGCAACAGTCCCAACAGTGACGGTCACTCCGTTGAAGCACAGCAGCACAGCTAGCCCTGTTTTCGGTCGACTGTCACCAGTGACTCAGGCCTCAGCTTACAACACCATCGACTCAAACATGCTCATAAGTTCTTGGAGTAGTGGTTCCCCTGCGTCATCTTCTCAAATCATTCACACTCCTACTCCAACTCTGCAGAAGAATCAGTACTGGGTATGATCCTGTACAAGGCAACTTTTAGCTATGTGAGTTAAAAAGTTGGTTGATATGAACTTAGATGACGCAATAATCTGCTGCAAATTTCCACCTTAAAGCTGTGTTAATATCTTATTTATTATTAAATCAGTTTTAAGTAAGATTTTTAACAGTTTTAGTCATGGTAATTAGTTCCAACCCATCACCCAACTCTGCAGCTTTATAAAACTTTTCGCTGGTTTTGAAGCAATTTAGCATATGGCGCAGTTTTAAAGGCTGCAATGACTTTAACTACACAAACTATATAAGGGAGAAACAGAGTTAGCTCTATGCAAATGTGTTTGTCAAGAGTTAGCTATTTTTATTTATTTTATTTGCCCTCCAGTGGCCAAAAGATAACAGGTTCAGCTTTAACGATAGATAAATACTATTCATTGAAACACAGGTTTACAATCCAACACTAACCACTGCTGAGTATTCAGTTTGTTGGACTCTGGGGATTTTCCAAACACTTGGCATTATGGTAAAGGGTGACCTGTGTTTGGTGCCTACTGTGTGTTTAATCACTTACACTGTCGTCTAGTCCTTATGCACGTTGAAGTCTATTACACAATCAGCTATGATCATGTAATGATGATGATGCAAATAACAGGTTGAAACTGTGAATTTCTGAGACTGACACTGGCATGAAGATGTATTGTCTGAACATTTTTATTGATTGTGCATATTTTTGTATTATTGTTATGTATTATATGAAATAGTATAGCATCTTTTTTAAACTCAGGTACTTTGTTGACTGTCGTTTACTTACATGTTGGTGTAAGTAAGGGTAGCATATATATAAAAAATGGGGTTCTTGTTTAACATTACAAGTATTGCAGTATCTTTAAATGAGACTCTGAAATTGCTTGTTTAAACCCTGATGAAAACACACTGGTTAAAACAATCGCACTGTTTTTCATATGTTTTTTTTTTATATTCTAATACACGATATTTCTATTTTTTTTAGGCGTGCAGAAAAAATCAAAGTTTTAATCTTTAAGATTACACAAATCTGTGCTGTATTCCACCAACTTTAACTCCAATATTATTGATTGGGAATGTGGGCATGTTCTGTAATATCACAGTTTTACCTACAGCTGATCAGATAAACTGAATATAATACATTTTTACATACAGAGCAGAAATGACCTTCATTGGTAAGGCAATAAATATCTTGAGATAAAGCAGGTAATCGGCGGGCTAGGATCAAAACCTTTTATTGGAATAAGTGCTGTGAAAAATATTCATACACTGTTGAACTTGTGTGCACTGATTCTTCAAATCATCTGCTGGAGACCATCATGGTTCGACGCCGAAATGATGTATCTACTGAAAATTAAAGTTACTGTTTTACTGACTTTTCTGTCAATCCGTGGGAGATGAGAATACACCCTCAGAGAGAACTGCCGTTAACTTATGTCCTAAACTCATTTTGTACTGAAGAGAAGTGTCGATCCACTGTATGCCATGTCTCATTTGAACAATGTAACCTGCTGTGTAACAAAAGTGACATATTTATTTATACCTTATTTTTAATAAACCACTTCAAAGTGTTTGAAAGAAATAACACTTGGGTTTTATATGTGAACATGATCTTATTAAGTTTGTTTGTTATACCAGCGGAATGATTTCAACGCCTGCATGCATATTGTCCCTGAGTTTTTCCTCTTCAGTGAATTTTTTCTCCTGTCGCTATAATTTAAACAGTTCCTGCAGCCTCCGAACAAAAGATACTCGGCACCAAAGGACCAATTACACAAAGATTAATTATCATCATCGCTCCTCTTTCCAGTTTCCTGCAATTACTTAGTTGTGGATTTCCAACATGGAAGAGCACTTAAATCAGCAGGACTTTGTCATGTGATCTGCATAAAGATGCTTTGTGTCTCCCCTCTCGAGCAAATGTCCTCTAAAAATCTAGTTTAAGTAGGTAATGTGATTTGAAGAAAAACACAGGCATCCATCTCAGCAGCTGTGACTCAGTCCACATGACTGATGATACAATGCTGGGAAAGCAACTGGTTGTTTCTCCTGACCAGAAATAAACAACATGCTGGTTGTCTGTCACATATCATTGGATGTCAGTCATAAATAAGAGAAGAAAAAGGCTGACAGTTTAACCAATGACTTATCTATCTCAAGATTTGTGCGCGACTATAGCGCTGCTGTGATAGTCTTGTGGACAGTAAATGAGTCAACCGGGATGATGAGTAACGGCATCACATGGGAGTTGCAAAGTTAGCAGGATGATGACAATGCAGAATCCTGAGACAAGAGCTTCACCGTGAAAGTTTCACAGTTAAACAAAGACTTAAATGTTCAACTAAGATAAGCAAACAAAGCTGCGTCTGTGAAAAGTGAGGCAATTTGAAAAGATGGTTATTGCCGCTGATGCGACGCAGTACCAGTGTGACTAGTTTGGCTCTATGAAGGAAGTAATCGCTATCAGCACCTGGATGTTCAGCAGCAGCTGAAGAAGAAAAAGATGTAATAATGTGACAGTATTTAAAACAGCAGTAATGAGGTGGTCTATAGTCAACATCTAAAAATCCCTCAGTAACTCACTGCCCACATTCCGATTGTTTTCAGTAATTGAAGTCACACGTTGAATTCAGTGACATCTGTTTGTGAGATTCAGGAAACTGTTGCCAGCCAAAGCCACGTGAGAGGGTTAAAAACAGCTGATGAGTGTTAATTTTGATGAATGTCTCAGATGTACAACGAACACGAGGAGTTGTCTTGAAATGAGGCAGGATTTAGAAGATTTGGAGAAACGCTCAATTGGCTGTAGAATAAACAGGCAAACAAATACACAAACACTGAGTCATCAGTCTGTACTTTCCCGATCTGACTCCAAAAACTACAAAACCAACATTGTTCACTTGTGGCCTGAGCTACTTATCTCTGGTATCCCATCATGCACTCACACACACACTCACAAACATGCAGACTCATCTCCTCCGCAGCACCATCCACAAGTGTCGCCCATGCTCAGATTGCCTGTTTGTGTTTTGGGATGTTTAAGATTTGAACAACTGAAGCAAGATTATCCCGACACTCCCGCTCGCCAGCTCACGCTCTATTTATCGCCTAAATCATTTACAGAGATGCTTGGTTTGTTTTCTGTGTCAGAGCAGATTTACAGTCTTTTTGTTAGTTGAGCACAACAGGCTGGAAAAGAGGGGGGTGGGTGTAGAGGCAAAAATGAAGCAGATTAGATACAAATCCAGCAGTCAGTGAATGTATTCACCATGATAATGCAAGAGCACCTTTAGGCGGGGAGGGGCGCATTCAAAAGCAAGAAGAAATGGATTTATGTTACATTTTGAAGGTAGTTTTCAAATGTATTGAACTTATTTTCACATTTGATTATTAATACACTCACAATATCATGTAAAGCATCTTTCCCCCCTCTGCTTCAGCCCTGCACTAAACAAAAACAGAGTTAAGTGAAAACTCTTGATTGCACAGAGATCACTAAAAACTGTACAAATGGACTATTTTCGTTGCCTTCTGTACAAGACAAAGAAGATGAAGAGTTAGCAGGATGTGCCACATCACAACTGATAACATATTACGAAGGTATGCATGATGATGTAATGCGTCATTGTGTTTGTTGTTATCTAAGATTGTTGTTTATTTGATAAGAGCAGCAACTAGAGCACAGCCTGACCCATTCGAATTTTGATACCATCAATTTGAGATATCTTTTAATAGGTCAAACTTATGCAATGAGGGAAAATGTAAATTTGAGTTACTACAGGGAGTAAAAGTGTACAGTTAGTGTTTTGGCTCTGTCATTTTGTCCCACACAGCTCATGCAAAGCAGCTTGTCAGGGCCGACGATGAGTTATTCGTACTGCCATGAACAAAAGTCAAATTATAGTCTCAAAAAGAGGAAACTGGCACAGAGAAAAAGCTGACATCACAGTGCATAGGGTTACAAAATGTGGATGTCTGGCAGGAAGTGGTCACATGCTTGACGTCCAGAGCAATAAGGAATTAAATGATCATTTCACCCTCGCAGGGTAATGTCTTGGCTTTAACACAGTTTGAGTCCAACCTTAAAACTGCAACACTGATGTTCAAAACTGTGCAGAAAAATGAAAGGGAATCTGAATCTGAGAAAGAGAGTCACAGAAAAATAATTAGCCAGGATGAGTTCTTGCCCTCAGATATTAGATCTGAGTGTGATCCTTGTAATTTAAGGGTTGGTAATTATGGGGCAGGGAACAAAAGCAGCCTGCAAGACGAGACTGAGGGAGACAAAGCTTGTTCGTTTTAATACGATTCCACACATACAAACCCAGATGGTTAATTGAATCTCTTCAACTCCCAGTTACAAATTTTACAAAGACTGTTTCACTTTTAAAGACTCCCTTTTCTCTCTTTTTCTTGCTACTACAAGAATAAAAACGTCTGAGCATTTGAAGTACCTCTAACATGTCATCCACAAAGTGTCATTAAGTTTATTCATAAAAGCTAATCATGGCGTGTAAAATACTGCAGAAGGATTCAGAATGTAGCGGGCTGGTGTTGGGAGCCATGAAAGATGCCTTTAAGGAGAAAAACACTGAAGAAAACCAAAGAGCCGACTCTTTGCTTATTTGTCTTCAAGAGCTTGTTACCCAAGATGCATCTGTATGAGTCTATTTTTCCCGCAACCAAACTGGGACTGTGTTCGTTTTTATCTGCTTGAGTGAGGATTAGCTGTTTAATTCACTGACAGGATTTCTCTGGATTTTGGCAGTCAACGCCGCTTTTCTCTTTGCTCTGCATGTTAATGACATGATCCAAAATGAACATGATCATGCAAATACCACAAACTAAAACCTTTTCATCCCCTACTTTAAGTGTCTTTTGCATGTGTTTTGTGGGTGTAAATGAAAGGCTTGATTTATTCCTTTTTTTTGTCACTTTCGGGACCATGTTGCACAGGCCCAGGGGCGTCACTGGGAATACTGGGACACATGATATACATGTATATATTCCTCGGCCCTAACACTGCAGCCTAATCCAACCCTGTGCATTAATTAAAACCACATCTCAACTATGAAAACAACCCAATTATAGCTTCAAACAGCTCTAAAACCAGGAATAAGTCATCTCAAGAGTCTCAACACAAACTCTGTTTCAGTAGTTTCATTTGGTTCTCATTTTACTCTCCTGTCTTTGTCTTCGTGAGGCTGCATTCTTTGTCTAATTCAATAAAGCATTTTTTTCTTTGTCCGATTTGTTTATAATATTATTTTCCTCGAACAAGATGTTGTCTTGCAGTGTCTTCAAGTCTGTGTTCACAAATTTCGGTTGCAATCGAACAGGAAAAAATAAAAATACCTGGTGTCTCTCTGCATTTATCATTTTAAATATCTCTAGATCGCAGACACATCAGATCAGTTCTCTACTATAATCCTCTTTCCATCAACATCTAGTGTATTATTCACAAAGTGTACCAACACACACACAAGCACACGTGCTGAGCTCTCATGTGCCCCACTGTTCATTGATTTAGTGTTTCTGTGTCAAAAGCAGTCTGTAGATCCATCCACAGCAGGATCATAAACACACACCATGCATCCGCCTGTTGTTTAGCTTCCCCTGGAGCTCAGCACTGATTCACACGTCAATCATTTTCTCAGCAATTAATCATCACTGTTATATTTACAGATAAACATAAGGGGATGGATGTGATGTGACATGACTGCTGGCATATGAGGACGATTTTGAGCAAAACAAACACAAAAATAATGATCATCAGTGTCACCAGCATGTGTAATAATGACTTCTGTACTGATACAGATCCGTGTGTGAGTCTGTGAACAAAGAACCAGTGCAGTAGGAGGTGAGTTGGAGAGGTCAGACCACCAGCAGTCCATGTCAGCTGGGGGATTTGATGACTGCGGCCTGTGGCAAGCAGAAGACAAAGAGGGCGGCCAGCTTGTCAGCATAGTTTGTGTGTGTGTGTATTTATGTGTGTGCAAATGTGTATTTGACTTGTTACTGATGCAACTTAGAAAGAGAATGTCACACAGAGACACATGAAGTGAATCCTTTGAACAGAACTGGATTGTGTTGCTGTTCACCTCCTTCTCATGTTTAAGGGATTTGTGATTAAAACAGTGAAATGTCACACCTTTCATACCTGTGTCTCTTTGTTACATGATCTTATGCAGGTCCCCACGAATTTAACGAAAGGTTCATGGAGGAAGAAAGAAGGAAGGTAGGAGGAAATGGGAGGATAATTGGGGAGAGAGACAGAAAGTAGATAGAAGAAAGAAGACAAGGAGGAAGATGGGAAGAGGAATGGAGTGAGAAAGAAAAACAAATAGGAAGAAATGAGTAAGAAATGAAGGAGGAGGAAAGGAAGGAGAGGCAAAGAAAAAAGAAAAGAGGGAGAAAGATGGGACAAAGGACAGGGAAAGAAGGAAATAATGAGAATATTAGAAGAAAGAAAAGAGGAAAATGAGGAGGAAAGAAGGGACAAAAAGGAACTAAGGGGGGTAATAGATAGGAAGAAAAAAAGAAAGGATGAAAAATGAGATAGAAAGGAGGGCAGAAGGAG